CCGTTATCATGTCAAGGACTCATCTAGGCATGTCGTCTTGGGTACACAGCAGTTCAAGCCCAACGAGTTTGCCAGCCAAATTAACCTGAGCATGGAGAACGCCTGGGGCATCCTGCGCTGTGTGATCGACATCTGTCACAAGCTGGAGGAGGGCAAATACCTCATCCTCAAAGACCCTAATAAGGCAAGGCAAAGCTGTGCTGGGTTTCTAGTCTGTTGCACTGCAGAATTGAGATATTTGATATACTACAGCAAAGAAGGAATCTCCAAATCTACTTGAGGAGTAGTTTTGTCTTATTTGTATATAGACGGTTTCAATGGCAACAACATAAACAAACGTTACTGCGCATGCGTGCTTTTGTGGCCCTAACTTAACTTCCGGTAGACTTCCAAATAGAATCAGTGACATCAGCTAAGTAGTCCCTTTAGAGTAGATTATTTTTGATAACAAGCTAAATATGTTTGCTGCGTAAATCAGACGGACTTACTGAAAATGCAAATTCATTCTCTGCCAGCAGGAGGTGCTTTAAAGCGGGAGAAACAGAGGTTTCTCCAGTAACAGCAGTACACAAAGCAGCACTGAGCTCACAAACGCTGCTTTATCAGGCATATAACATGCAAGATGAAATGAAAATGACATCGAAAATTTTCTAAAGATAGTCTTCCTTCAGAAATGCAGTGAAATAAAAACACCCGCGCCTCGTTATGATTTTTAAATGTGCAGTATGTGCTTATGTTCATTCAACGAAGTCTTTTGGAAAATGTGTAATTTTTGATATTGTGGCGAGCGCCACAAATAAATAAATGTATGGGAAACACATCCCACAGCACAACCACCTGAGCCCAACTTCAGTCTACTCATCACCTTAACTTTAATTGTGTTTGTAGCCGGTGCCATAGCCAGACTGATTAACAAGCACAGACCGGAAGTTAACTTCGGGCCAGGCGCGTGCGCCCGATGAAACAGTCTATAAAAACCCATCTAAGCATTCTTTATTATGAGCAAACCTTGAGTAGAAATGAAATACACTGTTTAACACACTCGGTGGTGTTAATTTTAGCTGCAATACTGTGCCAGTAGGAATCACCTTGGCAACTTCAAAGTATTTTTCTGCAATCAACATTATAATTAATGCATAACTCATTTTTTTCATAACTTTTTTTTTTTTGTCCCTAACAGCAAGTAATTAGGGTGTATAGCCTGCCTGATGGAACCTTCAGCTCAGATGAAGATGAAGAGGAGGAGGATGAGGATGAGGAAGAAGATGAAGAGGGTAAGGATAACCGATTGTTTCTCACTTTGTCTTTTTCCATACTATTTTGTTTTTATCTGGTTACGTCTGTTTCTGATGCATTTTTAATTTCTTCCAACAGATGAAGACAATTAAGGCATCATTAACTACCACAGCTGCTGGCATTATGTGTTTCAACGCTGTCAGAGCTGAATAAAGATGATTATTTATTTACTGTGGTGCTGTCTCTGACTGCCTTTCCTATTTTAATCATTATAGATTAGGTTCTGGAGTTTAAGGGCAATCTAGATGGCCCTTCATTTAAGAACTCGTGCTGATAAATCTTGCCATTTAATCTTAATTGTTAAAACATTGTGTTAGAAATGCCAAGACCATGGGTTTGATTCCCAGGGAACAAACATGCTGATGAAATGTATAACCTTGAAGTGTCTATGAAATTAAATGAATGGTCTGACATTGAGTTCTCACTAAGGCTGCATTTATTTGATCAAACAGCACAAACTGTAACATTTTCAAATATTAAAATTTAAAATAGCTACTTTTCTATTTGAATATATTTTAAAATGTAATTCATTCTTGATGGCAAAGCTGAGTTTTCAGCAGTCATTACTCAAGTCTTTAGTGTCACATGATCCTTCAGATATTCTAATATGCTGATTTGGTGCTCAATAAACATTACTTATCAGTATTGAAAGTAGTTGTGCTGCTTAAATCTGCCAACAAAAAAACAATGCAATGTAGTACAATAATGATTGAGAGTACAAATTAACATCATAAGCCTGATGTATTTAAAAAAAAAAAAAAAGGATAATCAAGTAGCCTAAATTGCTTAGGTCCAGTAAATGTTGAAATATTACTAACAGTACAGAAGCTATTACTTTTACTTCATAAAAATCTCTAGAAAAAAGCCTTTTACTTTCTAAAAATGTATAATCAATCAGATGATAGAAGGCATGTGGTAGATTGTGTATAACCATTGTTTAGCAAAGTTTTGACTATATTCATTATTTCTTTTGGAAATCAAGATACATCATGTAGGATCCTTTTATGACTAGAAAGTTCTGTAGGATTTTTATTAGCTCTAAAAAGGGAAATATTTATGAAGAATTATAACTGGTTATGATTCATAATAAATATTTAGATTATATCCTCGAATTAACTGTAGCAGAATCAATATTACAATTATTTGATCTGTCCGTCCACCGAGCAGACAATATAATCATTTATCCATTCAAGGAATGTTTATTTCCTGGCCACGGAACAATAAACTGTCCTTCTTTGTGCAGTGCTAGCAGTAATTTAGCAAACATGTAGCAAGGGTTCAACACATTCATTGACTTCGAACTGTGAACAGCAAACAGAGACAATCCGTTGTGAATATAAAGGATTTAAAAATGAAACTATATCTAACATATAACTAACTAAAACATATATACACAGAATGAAACAAAGTAAGGAAAAGAGAGAGAATAGAAAAGAATGGCAGTATTTCACATCACTTAACCACAACCTTTGAAAATCATCAAAGAATCTAAAAATCACCTTAAAAAGGGGCTGAAACTTAAACACGCATCTAGATAATTTCAAGCGGTTACTTGCATTGGTTTTCGATTGCTGAAGAAGAGTCCGGATGCGGTAGATAACGGAGGTCTTTTGATGAGTTCGTGAGGAGTCAGCTGGAAGTTTTTACTTCTGGTTCTTCTGAAGAAGGAAAAGTCCACAGCGACTAAAGTAACTTGGAGATAAAAACTGCCAGAAAATAAAAACTCAAAAGGAAGATCTTGAGAGTCTTCGAAAAGTGTTGTCTCAAACGAAGAGGGTTTCTGAGCAAAGATTATTTCGGGCTAATCGCTTTTGA